TCTCCATACAGTGAACAACAGAATTGACAAAAATATCTAACAATTGATATCCAATTGTAATACTTATAAATAGACTACAATTTCCGTCGGAATTAGAGCTCTGGACTCAAAGAAAGAGTCGATTCCATAATAAATTGAAGAAAAGAATTGAATCCATTACTCTTATGATCACATGTTTTGGTTATTCGGGATCCGTTTCTTTCACTGATATCAAAGTTTCGCCAATACTTGGTAACTGTTCTCACGATAACTGCGTTTATAACTAGTGTATGAATTTATTAAACAATATTTTATAACTAACTCTAGAAAAGACTCAAATAGAGACGACTGATGGGATCGGTCGCTGGTGTCATAACACATATAAACCCATCGATATAACTGATACTTTGAGATACGAACCAATGGTCATCTCTTTAGTCCCTATTCATAGAACTCGTCAAAAATCTGACGTGACTTTTGGTAATTAACTTTTTGTGATAAATTGATTGAAAAGCAATGTTTTAATTGAGTTATTAAATTCAGTCACTCAGCTATCAATGGATAGATTAATAGTGTTGGAGCGAAGTCTGCAGTCATGGGTGGGACCCGTCTCTATAGTTATATTCATTCCCCTTAAGAATGTTGGCGAAGGTATACAAGAGTGGCACAGGTATTGGCGATTACTATATAATAGTTGCCATTAATAATAATAATGAATTTCTCATTTAATTAAGACTTTATATATCAAAGAAGTTGAAAATTTTGAATCTAACGCATGAAAGTCACGTGAATCTGGTGTCAGGACTCGAGAGCGACGAATATCCTATCAATGCATTGAGAAATATAGCCATAAAACACGTGAAGACAAAGTTTATGTTCATATCGGACGCAGACTTTCAGCCGTCGCCTGACTTTAACAATAGATTTATGTCTATATTATCCAAACATGAATATACATCGAGAACAGCGTTCGTTGTGCCGGCTTTTGAATATTTAGAAAGCCCTCAAGTAATGAATTGCTTCACTAATGAATCAATTATAGCATTAAATGAATTGATTTATGTTC